AGTACAACTAAACTATCAAAAAGAGAGATAGAGAAGGAAAGTAATATAAACACTTGATAATTTAATGTTTATATTGATTGCAAAAGAAGAAAGAAAACGAGAGAAGAAGAGAAATAAATCACGTAGATCTTGTTCCTAATATCATAATTTAATACATTAGTATATAGAGGAAAGTGCCCTATTATGAGACAGGATTCTAATATGAAATATGGTAAGCTAAAAGGTTCTATATATGTAGACCCCGTCTGTTGATTAAACCATGAAAAAACCCCGCCATCTCATATTAGGATCCTATCTCATAACAGGACATTTTCTTCTGGTAATAAATATCATATAATAGTTTAGTATAAAAATAAAATATATAAAGTGAGATATTTTACATCAATTAATATAACACATACCTTTACGTTTCCATCGTATAATAACAAATTTGAATGAAACCAATATAAAAGGTAATGTAATTCGTAAATTGTCTACCATAAGTACTATGTCGCCCCAAACTCGTATAAGCGCCCATACAAGCGGTACATTAGAGACGACTATCAGAGTAATAAAAATAAAGCCTACGCGAATATTGGACCACAATTTTTTCTTAGAAACTTCATCGGCTATAGGCCATAAACCGATCAATTCCAACCCCAAACGATGTAATTCAACTGCCCATGCGAAATCTGACAATTTTTTGTATATGGAAAAAATAAAAGATTTAGATAAAATAATCTAACAAATTAATAAATTGTAATAATTAAAAGACTAATCGTAAGGTAGCAATAATACGTGATGATATAAATGGATTTACGATGCAAAATAATAATTTATTTATTAGATATATAGAACACGCTTAATAAACAAAAAATACATGATATAGGATTCGTACCTTTATAACCTGAAGACTCCGTGTCCATATCGAAGACTAACATGAAGATGATCGTCCCGTTCTTCCCCCCATATAATGTAAAACGATCATCGCGCATGCTCTCCATACAAGTACAAAAACTCGGCAGCCTCGTCAGGCGCATTAAATATTAAGAATGCTATCCCCAATTGACCATAGGTACTTGTCTCGTAAAAAAAGTTTACAAATGTTCGAAAAAGTTATAAAAAGCGTTTATACTCAAACGAGAGATAGGAAATATTCCATCGCAGTACTTTGCAAATTTAACGAGCTTGTGAAAGTTTCTTGTAACAAAGTAATAGGTACGAAAATGTAAGAAGCTGCAGTTTATAGACCTGGATAATACATCATCGTTATCGTATGTTTCAAATGTAATTATTATAAAGATATATTTGTTTATATAACGCAGAAAATGAATCTATTATCGAGTATAAACTGTAATAGATACATATTTTTTAAGAGTTTTTCCGTATTTTTTGAAAATTTTTTCGTATAAATTGACCGTGCTCTTTAAACATCTGATTAAAATTTCCTTTTTGACATTTGCCCGTGATTTAAAGAAAACAGCAATCGTACATAAGCATTTTCAAAATATATTAATTATTTTTACGAAATTAGAAAAATTGACGTTTTTGAACTACAAGAATGAGCATTTATCGATCTTCTTTTCATTTCTTTATAAAATTAAAGCAAGCAGTAATAATCCCATTAAAATATTCATATAGGTTGATCCATCTTACATCAATTTATTGTTGTCACTAAATTTAGTTGTACACACAAAGAATGCTGATAATTAAAAAATTATTTAAACTGTTTGAAAGTGTTTTTTTAAGAGAAATGCAACATACAAATCTTAGAACTTGATTAAATTATTTTCCTAATAAATATTGAAAATTGACACGTATCAAGATGCATAATAATATAATTTCCAAATGATAAACATCGATGTAAATAACACGAAACTTTATTTTTATTAGCTATAATTAGACATAATTATTAGCTTTTGTCTGAAAATATTTTATTGGATATACATTCGTCTTTCCTATAGAATGACTGAATAAGAGTATATTAACGTAATTTTCAACTTCCCTTTGCTAGCAAAAACGATATATATCCAGCCGACGTTTTTAAAAGCTGAAAGAAAGTATATATTATTATTTTGATATAATATGAAAGAAAAAAATATCTGCAAAAATAACCTTAGTTATACTTTTATACTATGTTATAATAATAATTATAACAATTTTTCACATTTATGTTTGCTTAGTATTATAATAGACTGCTTTTGATCAAGAGCATTAACATGTTCCGAGCCGGACTAATTTTAATTATTTGTCGCCCACGTTGATTACCCATAACCAATGTGGCATGGTTATTATACTTGTAAAATAAAATGTATTTTAGAATGACTAAAAAATTGTTATTGTTCTAATGATGAAGGCCTAATGTGCTAAATGCAATTCAGAACATAGCAAGAATACTTTTTAAATTAATTATCTAATAAAATTAATATTTTATACAAACGTTTATTAATAATTATTTAATCAATAAATATTTTATAGAGAGAGCCACAAAGAGAGCCACAGAGAGAGAGCCACTAAAGTGATACATAATACTGTTTTACGTTAAAACAGGATATACGTGAATATAGTTGGGATAGTGCTTAGAAAATATTACAACTTTTGTAGTTAAATTTCTTGTAATTATTGTGCCCAGCTTGTTAACATTTCTATATCAATCGATAATTCTTAAGTAAAGTAAGAAATAAAAGATTGTAGTGATTCGATATCTCAAATCGAAAACATGATCGCAGGGCTGCATGGTGTGATGTTATGGGCTACAATACCAATATTGCACCATAAATCATAATTAAGCACTCACATATGATATCACAAAATATTTCATGATAATTTTTTTCTTTATAGCCAAAACGTTAAACAGCTTGAACGAAAAATACAACGTGGGCTACTCATGGCGGCATGGAACGTGTTAAATAGGGAAATAAGTTAAATTGTATTTGGTACGAAAGAGCAAAAAGTTAAAGTAGAAATTATTATATCTTACGCTGCAAAATGTAGCCATTGTTAAGGGAAAAATTTTTCCTGCAGTGATGCAAAACGGTTTGCTGACTCGTACCATTAATAAAATAAGATTCCTCGCTTTTCTTGATTCCAATTTGTACCACTCAAGATCACATATTGCACGATATACAGCTTCACACTTAACAAATTTGTACATTTAATGTATGAATACACATATTATTTCAATATAAGTTGCGACAAATATTAATCGACGTATATTGAGAGTATTGAGACACGTATATATACGTTAATACAGATTATATGTATAATTTTATTTTAATTTATTTTTTATATTACGTACACTCATATTACGTACTTTTTACTAATGTAATTGTATAAATGTATAACTTACTTGTCCTGTTACAAGTTCTCCTGCACCGCAATAGAGAAACGTATATGTAAATAACATAAGAACACCTAATGCCAAGTAACATGCTTGTAGGCCACTTGCGTTATTTATCTCTCGATCAGTAATTATCTAAATAATATATCTCGCCAATTAGTAAAACACAAATTGATATAAGTTAAACATATAATAGCTTATGGACTCATACAAGATATATTGCATAAATATACATTTCAAACATAAAGAAACGCGTAAGAATTAAAATATTTTCAGTAACATTATTTTGTTTCACTGGAACTCACAGTAAGAAATAAAAATCCGAATAAACAAAATACACTGCAAAAATAAAGTACCAATCCAAACATTATTAACGAGAATGTGTTTTCAATGTTATCGGCAAACCTAGAAGCAGAACTGATAATTAAATAGAAATGTCATTTTAAAGCTAATAAAATTCTACATTTAACAAGATTTGTACATTTAAAAATTAATTGTAAATAACTAATATAATTTACTAACTTTTTATTCATTAGACGTTTCTTAATTTAAAAAATAATATTAACAGTTTTTATAGGCTATTATTAATTTATTATAGTTTAATAAAAATTAAAATAACAATTTTAGCCGAATAAATTTTGACAAAAGATGCTAGTATTATATAATTTAATATTACAAATTAATATTTATAACATTACAGACATGAAAATTTTAACGTTCAAAAAAATTGTAGTATTGTAAAAGTGCAAAAACTAATTTTGTTAGAAGTTTTGTTGATTATTTGGCATGCTATTGTCATAGCCAAAATCCACACCTGATGAGTCGTAAATGACACATTATGCTGTTATTCAGAGCTTGGTTGAAATTTTTGCACAAAACCAAATTGACTAAACGGTGTCTGAAATTCTCTAATTGGCCGCAGATGTGAAAAATTACGAGTCCAAGAAGAGCATCTGCTGCCGCGTAAATAATAGCTGCTAGAAAAAGTGTTATGGCTTGAACAAGAAATGTCAATTCAAATTGCGGGCTTTTAT